TTCCTAAACAACATGCCTCTGGAAACTATGAACTTTTGAGAAACAATAGTTATAGAAAAGCTTCTGGTCTTTTGTTCATAGCTCATAGCGTTGCTGTGAGTCAGTCTTACTTGATTCGATGACAACAACAATATTATATATATTGGGCTTTTAATTCCAAAAGATACGTATAGCTTGTTTTTTTTTTTTTAAATTCCAACTTAGGGAATTAGCCCTATCTTGGGTGAATTAATATTGTATTTACTTCGTCACAAAAAAAGATATGTTTAAAATTACTTTTAAGTTGAAAGTAGTGTCCAGTTGTATATCGCACGGTGATTTTGATTATCCTTTTCAGATAAAGCATTCTTAACTGTACCCTGTAGCTGCCCTGTAGTTTTGTATTATAAATATATAGTGATTTCTGTTTCATTGTTGTTGATTGCTCTGAGCACGATCCATGGTGAACCCTATGAACCAAAGGTCTAAAGCCCCTACATCTCAAATGTACCATTTCATCAGATGATGATTCTCTATGCAAACGTATACACATGAAGATATTTGAATAAGTTATGCTCAAATTGGAAAACATCAGAACTATTTAGCTAGACAACTTTTGCATTGATTTAAGGCAGAAAGAAGTTTCTGTTTTCAAAATTATTTTTAAAGAGCCAGATTATTTTGAGGAGGAAAAATGGTTTGAAAAATTGTATGTGCTTAATGACCCAAATTAGTTTTGAAATGTGTGATAAAACAATGAGGGACATTAAGTTGAAGATCCCTTCAAAAGTCTCTTACTGACCTAGTTTAGATTTATGTGAAATAGATTAGAATTACCTTGCCTAAAAGATTTCTCCACAGTTTAAAAAGAAAAAATCACAACAGATTTAAGTTAAAATAATGTATTATAATTATTCCTGGAACGGCATCCACTTCCAAAATGGCTTGCCTCTGGAAACTATGTACGAACAGTGCTCAGGCTGTTCGTTCATAGGGTCGCTATGAGTCGACTATGACTCGACGGCATTAAACAACAACAAATTATAATTATTAAGTATAAATTGGATTCTGCCTATTTAATATTTTAATTCAGTCCTTCTTTTGTTAAAAGTGTCCTCTGGAAAGTAATTGTATTAGTATGTACTTGAGATTACACTTTTAATGATGGCTTTATATAGCCAAACAGGTATGCAATCCATGCTGAAACTCAAGGAGATCTTTCTCTACTTCATTTACCAGGTAGGGAGCCCTGGTTCAGTAGTCCATTGCAAGCTGCACTGCTTCCCTAAAGGCCTCCTTCCTAGCAGTTTGAATCCATTGGTTTGGCAGTAGAATGAGGGACAGTCCTTCCTTTGGGATTTACATCCTCAGAAACTTGATGGAGGTTGGATGGCATTGAGTTATATTTACCAGAATCCAATATTATTAGAATTTTATCAGTGACGAAAATTTGAAAAAAATATTTTCAGTGGTGACAATGAAATAGGAGTGATAAGATTTATTTATTTAACAGGTAACCTTTCCCATTCTGAACAACTACATACATTTTATTAAGGTAGAACTCACCCATTGTGATGGAGTGGGAACCAAGTCATAGCTGTTTGTCCATCCAGTGGGTTTCCTGAGACTGTAAATCACTCATGTGGAAGGAGACTGCCCATCAGTATCCTACAGTTAGAGAGCGTGGTAAAATTACCACATCAATGCTTTTGCTATATCTAATTTTGAGTTCTAGGTATTTTTTATTACAGTATCTCACACTGTCATGAGTATCCTAAAAGTGAAACTAGCATAACATTTTTGTAGAACTTCCAATAAGCACCTTGGGGGAAAAAAGCAAAACCAGCCTGAACCCCTCAGGGATCTCTTGTTATCGACATCAAGTCGTAACTGATTCATAACTTACCTTTCCATTGGATTTCCAAGGCTGTAAATAAACAACATGCCTCTGGAAACTGAACTTTGGGAAATGATTGTTATAGAAAGGCTTCAGGTCTTTTGTTCATATGAGTTGTGCTCAACTCGCCTCAATGACAACAACAAATAAATGGAAAGATACTACCCATCTTTGTTCTGAAGAGATGCTGGTGCATTCAAACTGCCAGAAAGGCATGGCTTTTGGTTGACAGTGTGAATCTGTAGGAATTAGGCTACTGGAGCACTCTGTTGTATTTTTCTGGTCAAAATCTGTTATTCAGGTTTAAGTATGATATCTGGTATTTTTTACTAAGCTGTATTATAATTAAACTCAACCATATTCTGCTTAGAAGCATATCTAACAATATTGTATCATATCCTGATGAGTAGGCTTTTCTGTAAAACTTTTTTCCCTCATGTTCTGCTTTTCAAAACTATCTTTATTGCAAATACTTGTAATTCTAAGTACCTTATGTATAAGAACTTAAATGTCTGCCTTGTGGAAATCTTTTTTTCTTGGGTTTTCTTAATCAAGAAATTCATGTCTTGAAAAATATTGAAAGAGTTAAAAAGAATATTTGAAGTGTTTTGCCATTTAAATACATGATTGCTTCTTTCATAGAATTCCCATAACTTTTTCCTCTCAGAATGGCTGAGCAAAGGTTGATTGCTGTTTTCACTGAGTAAATTGTGTGGTATCTGATGGCAATGTGTAACTGTTTGTTTATTTTTAAGGCAATGGTAGGGGAGGAGTGTGTAGGTGCCATCGTTTGCAAGTTGGATATGCACAAAAAGATGTTCCGCAGAGGTTATATAGCCATGTTAGCTGTGGATTCCAAATACAGGAGAAATGGCATTGGTAAGAAACATCTCATGTTGCTAAAAGAATGAAAAGATTGTTTTTAATTTGTGTTTTTTGAAAGAAAAGATTTAAGTATAAATATATAGAAATGAAAATAAGGGAGGAAAATGGATAGTTTTTTAAAATTTCAATATTGTATTTCCAACAAAGTCTTGAATTGTTTGCCAGACTTTTTAAAAAAATGTTTTGATTTTTTTTAAAGATTTTATTATTATTTTGTATGTACCGTCAAATCAGGTCTGACTGGTACAGGAGGAAATTGCACCTCCTCCAGCAGAGCATCTGGTGGATTCAAACTGCATATCTCTGGGATTGCAGTGCAGCTTCTTGCTATTAGGTCACCAGAGCTCCCTGTTTGCCAGACTTTTAATTGATCAAGGGATTATCTTCTAAAAAGTAGCAGTTGAACAATTTTATTTACATTTTTATCACATTCAGAACAACGTGATTAATGCCATTAAACTGTATAAGTGAAAAAAATTCAGATGGCAAATGTCAGATATATTTGTACCACAATTGAAAACATAAACACAGTTGTTTTGCATTCTACTAAGTACTACAAGACAATCTTTATAGCATTTTTAGGACACTTGATCCCAGCCTTTAAAGCTTCAAGCTATCTATACTTGAAGTAAGTGGATGGACCTCAGTTGACAAAATTATGGAGACATTTTTTAATCATTTCTCAGTACTAGTTATCAGACATTCAGAAAGGACTATAAGAAGAATTGATTATTGACTATAAGGAGAATTGATTATTTCTTACTATTGCTGACTTGTCTCTTTCATGCTTCTGCCTTTTCTGACAAGTTAATCTTTATAATCATAGTTCCTAATAGTCATTAAAATCATTAGGGTGCTAATACTCAGGCCATTTTCCTTGATGATCTTGTTTGTCCTGGGCTGAAATTTCCCCAGGTGGTGACTGATAACCTGCCAATATCTAAGAGCTACAGACTTTGTTTTTGTTCAAGATGGAGGGTAGGTAAACAGACACTTACCTGAGACTGTAAAATTCAAGCTATACCTCAGCTAAATATTCATGAAAGACTGTTTGATGCTTGTGGCAGTACATAAGCTGTAATATTGGTGTTACCATTGAGACTGCCTTACCTAATCTTAGAAGTCCTATTTCTTAATACATTAGGATTAGCCATCTTTACGTATGGTGTTAAGATTTACTAGTAAACTGCTTTTTCAGGTTGGGCTTGTTATGTACAACAAAGTTCAATCTTTGATATTTTAAAAAGAGTTGATAAGAATTTAATGAAAAATGGTAAGCAATTGTTTGACTAGAACAGAGGGCAGAAACCAGCTCAAGGTTTGCATCCCGGCCTTGAGTCCTATTTTTTGCCGTGTGTGTGTGTGTAGTGTGAAGACTAGGTGATTCATTATAAAATGGGTATCTGTCTTCTTTGGCACTTTGGATTTTTTTCTCTACCATACCAAATGTATCTGATCCTAAAGTAGGATGCTTTTTGCTAGGCATTTACACAGTACTGCTATTATTTGGACTTCTGGACTTCACTGTGGTGAAGGTTCATTGCTTGGATTTGTAGGAACTGAGGTTATGTCTTGGGCTCATTCTTGAGAACAGCATCTCTGGCTGTCTTGTGCCCGGGAACCAAGGGTTTGAAAAATCCTTGGGGGAACTAGGCCATAGGGTATGAAGTAGGTTCTGATCCGTTTAGGAAGTTAGTTGTTTCCTCAGCCATTTATTGCTCTTCTCCTTCTCTTTTCAACTTCTTGTTGTGTACTGTCAGAATCAACCCAAACCTGACCCTCCAGCAGGTTTCATTAAATTCCACAGGAGGAGGTGACCCATCTTTCTCCTGTAGAGAAGCTGGTGGATTTGAACCGCATACCTTTGGGATAGCAGTGCAATTCCTTACCACTAAGCTACAAACTCCTGCCTGGCACACATATTAAAGATATTTTATGGGGAAATGTATATTGCTCTGTGCAGGTCCTCTTCATCTCTCAGCTTAAATCTTAATATTTTCTCTATTTAATAAGAGATAATCTGTGTATCTGCATTCAAGATCAATTTTAGCATTTGACATTTTTATGCTTGTGAATGTAATAATTTTGGTATCTTTAAGACACTAATTTTATTTTCCTTCATTAATACTTAGATCTATATTCTAGGTACTAACTTGGTTAAGAAAGCTATATATGCCATGGTTGAAGGAGACTGTGATGAGGTAAGTGTTTCTAAATATTTAAAGTCTGTTAAAACACCAAACAACTAAGCATTAAATAAAGATTGGTAGAGGGAAGGGTAGGAAAGATAACCTTTTTTAAAATGCAGAGCTACCTATCCATTCAGCCAGTTTCTAGGACCTAAAGGCAGGTATAATTATATTCTCTAGTACTTTGTTTACATGTGGTAGTTGCTTGGTAAATGTTGGTGCTGATTGAGAATATGAACATTAACATGAGTACAATATGAAAAACAGGTATCTTTATTACAGCAAAAATGACTAAGTAGAAATAGGAAAACCATACTCTACTAGTAATTTTTATGTGCTGTATAGATGGTTCAGTGTGGAGGGATGCTAGAAGCAGAGAGTGTTAATGTTCCTGTGTGTAAACTTTCTGGATTAGCCTAGTAATGACTGAGAAATAGGCTATATGGTTTACTTTACCTGACCATCTAGAAGTATTGGCCTTTCTTTGAAAGTCTGAAGAATGATTGGGGATTTTGATTATGTTTTTCTGTCTCAGATTTTTTTTTTCTCATTTTTTTTTCTCTGTTTCAGATCTTAAATTGATGATAATATGGTGTTCTGTTTATTTTACCTTTTAAATAATGAGAATTATATAATCTTAGGCTAAAATGGGATAGTGAACTTTTTTCTGAGTAATGATTGTAAATTAATAGCATTTGCAGTTTGAATAACTGCCTTTGGACTGGAGACTTTAATGTTTTGGGGAGGAAAAATTTAAAAGATTATCTGTGCCCCAGATTGTTCAGGTAAAGAATTCCTGTTTGAAAGGAAAGAGCTTTTGCTTACCCTTTATAAGGTTTTTATTTTCTTGACATTTTAAACCATATACAGTTTTCTGTCCTCATTTCTAGTTTTTGAGAGTTGTCCCTTTCTTGTTTCTGCTTCCTTAAACATACCATTTCATCTCTTTTGGTTTGGTTTCTGCTCCCTCCACTGTAACTACTTCTTCACTAATGTGCCTGTTAGATCTAGTAGCTATTTATCTTTCCTCCTCCTGTTTGTATTTTATCCTTATTGAATGTCTCCTCTGCCCATTAAAATACTTTCCAGTATTTAAGATTGAACTCAAATACTAACAACCCCTTTAAATTTTGCCAGGTCCTTTGGACAGAATCAGTTGTACATTCCTTGATTTTGACTTTTTTTTTGTTGTACTTAAAAGTATTTGTTTGGTGTCTGTGCCTTAGCTACTAATCTAAGTTCAGGGAGCCAGATATCTTTTCTTGTTTACTGTTCTATTCTTAGTAGTTGGTGTGGCTTTTCTGATACAGTAGGTGTTTGATAAACATTTGTTGGATGATTAGGATCTTTCCACCCTATATGTTATTTGTACCTCTTTTGTTAAAAAGCACTTTGGCATTTTGACTTGTGTAGGTAGTTGTTAATTTATCTTTCTCTCTGATTCCATTATAAGCTTTTTAGGAACAGAAAATTCTTGGTTTTGTACATAGTAAGCAAAATAAAAATTTGTATTTGCAGAATTAACCAAGTTTTTAAGAAAATTTGAGAGGTCTTTGGGATGGTAGAAAGAACATGGTAATATGACTATTTGATAAAAAACAAAATTGTATGTGAAAATTACTCCTTATTTGATCCCATTGCTGTGAGGAAAACTTCAAAATTCTTAATTGCAAAGAACACAGGAACTAATGAATAGATTTTATTTTCATAAAATTCGACCAACTTTAAATTTTCACAAATTATCATAATAATCTAAAAGATAAAACTTCAGATAGTTTTTAAATTGGCTTTCTTACTATTTGGGTTGTATATGCTGTAGATGATAAAAGTTTTTAGAGATTTTTAAATCCGTGGACTTGTTAATACAGTAAAAATTGGAAATCTTTTATGATACTTTTGCAGTCAGTTTTACTTTTTACTGTATTTGCAAAGTTCATTGTGACTTGAGTTATGTTTATATTCATCTTCATTACCTCTTGTTGTTTTAAGTTCAGAGTAAAATAAGTCAAAGTCCATAATTTACGAGGCTGATTATTTTTGCCAGAACATAATGCTATACCATCTTTTATCTATTAAATGTTCACTTTACTATGATTTTCTCAAAAATTAGGTTTAGAATTAGGCATAGTAAAAACATAGTTAAAAATATTCTTTTGTTTTCTACATGGAACTAATTATAAAAGTATATTATGAATAAAGAATTAAAGCAAGGGTGTATGTTGCTCCATAAATCTCAGCATGGCTTGAATTGGATTACATACTTATATGCTGTGTCTAAATATATAGTGGTTAGGACAAGTAGTGTGAGTCCTTATTTTTACAGTAAGTAATATGCCTAAATAGTGCATGAAAGAATTCTGTAAAATGTTATTTCAGAGTAAGTCTACCTACCTAAAATAATGAAGCTGTATAGTAATGATTTGTGTGTATGCACTTTTTCCTGCACATGTGTCATTTTAGTTAGCACAATATGACGTGCTTTACTTTTTAAGCTATAGATGTCCTTGAAATTGCCATCTGTGAAAATTCAAGCTTAATTCTTTTACTTAAAATGAAAATCTAATTGTTGTTATGTGCCATCGAGTCGTTTGAGACTCATAGCGAGTATAGGTTTTGCATTAGCACAATTAAATGTTCTGGGATTCCCATTCTTCTCAGAGTCAGCCACAGTTTGTTATGATCCACACAGTCAAATGCCTTTGCATAATCAATG